CAGGAGGTCAAGAGAGTGAGACCATCCTGGCCAATATGGTGAAACCCCGTGTCTACTAAAAATACAAAAATTAGCCGGATGTGGTGGCGCACGCCTGTAGTCCCAGCTACATGGGAGGCTGCGGTAGGAGAATCGCTTGAACATGGGAGGCAGAGGTTGCAGTGAGCCGAGATCGCGTGATTGCCCTCCAGCCTGGTGACAGAGCAAGACTCCGTTAAAAAAAAAAATAATGCTGTCAAAGAAGTGTATGTTTAGTCCTTTATTCCTTTCTAGGCTTTCATACTGTAAACATGGACACGTAGTATTTAACATAGAGCTGGTATAGTTTGGGTAACCAGAACAGGAAATATCTAACTTAAAACACACCCCTTGATTGCAGCATGTTTGAAACTGACTTGGTATAATGGGTCTAGCTTTTCAGAGGATAACTCTTAGCTCAGTTATATAAGTGGATCACTTTATAAAAGGCTTATAATTCAAATTTTTGTCAAAAGAAAATTTCAAAAGTTACCTTTCTATTTTATTTCTTTATACATTAACAATAGAGTTCATACGTTGAAGAGTCATTTTAGAAAAAGCAGAATAAGTAGTCAAATATTAGATAGCCCACAGAAAATGTTTTAAGGAGTCTGGATTTTGGCTTGAATGATCTTAATTAGAGGTTTTGCTTGTTCTGCTGGGCTTGACAGATTAAAAGGTGGTTGATTCTGCCCCGTCAACATTGCTTGCGTCCATCCACCTCTCTCTATCTCTACCTCTCTAACCCCTGCCACCCTTTGTTCTCTGACCCATCCAAGCCCTTCCCTAACTCTGGGCCTTTGTACAAGCTGTTCCCTTTGCCTGGCAGTCTCTTCCCACAATTTGCACCTGGCTAAATCCTGTCTCTTATTTAGATCTATGCTTAAATGCCACATCCTTAGAGAGAGCCTTCAAATCTAACTTATGTCTCTCCTGTTTTTCTCCTCATAGGCATATGCTTCTCTCTGAGCATTTGTCTCAGTCTGTAAATGTGGATCCATGTACTTATTGGTTTAATTTCTGCCTCTCCCACCAGTCCAGTTAAAAGAAGAGATTATGGCCGTGTGGTTCATCACTATATCCCCAGTGTCTAGCATAGCACATGACACTGACTGAATGAAAATAAATTTGTAATTACCCAGTGTATAAGTTATCTACTTCTGGATAATGAACTAATGCAATGTGTTAGTCCACTCACACAGTGCTATAAAGAACTACTTGAGGTTGGGTAATTTATAAAGAAAAGAGGTTTAATTGGCTCACATTTCCATAGGCTATACAGGAAGCATGGCTGGGGAGGCCTCAGAAAACTTTCACTCCTGGTGGAAGGGGAAGCAGGCATATCTTACACGGCCAGAGCAGGTGGAAGAGAGAGAAGGGGGAGGTGCTACACACTTTAAAACAACCAGATCTTAGGAGAACTCACTTTCTATCAGGAGAACGGCAAGGAGGAAATCTGCCCTCTTGATTCAATCACCTCCTACCAGGCTCCTCCTGGAGGATTATACTGGGGATTACAATTCAACATGAGATTTGGGCAGGGACACAAACTATATCATGCACAAACTTAGACATTTACTTGAAACAACAAACAGTTTTTATCTTGTAATTTCAGTGAGCCAAGAATTTGAAGTGGCTTGTCTGGGTGGTTCTGGTTCAGGGTTTCATATTAAGTCACAGTAAAGTTGTCTGCCGGGGTTGCCATCATTGGACCATGGAGTAGGGTTGATGGATCTGTTTCCAACAGGGCTCACTCACAAGCCTGTTTACCGGAGTCCTCCATTCCATGCCACTTAAACTCCTCTGTAGGGCTGCTTGAGTGTTCTCACATCATGGCCTCTGGTATCTCCCAGAACACCTGACCAAATGAGAGACAGAGTGAGGAGGAGGCCACAATATCCTTTATGTTCCAATTTCAAATATCAAATTTTGTCACTTTAACAACATCCTATTTGTTAAAAACAAGTCACTAAGTAATGCCACACTTAAAGGAAGAGGAAATTGGCTCCATCTTTTGAAAGGAGGACTATCAAAGAATTTGTGGGCATATTTGAAAACCACCACAGCTCTTCATCTGGCCACAAATTATATTACCTTGACATGAAAAATACCATAAACTCTTCCTACTGCTCCCCAACTCCCAAACTCACATTCATTTACATTATCAACTCAAAATCCAGGATGTTGACTTCAAAATCAGGTCCAAATGTGAATGAGGCTCTTTGCATGTAGTGCTTTAGTATAGCTTTGCTATACCATTCCTCTCAATCTAAAGACATAGGAACTGAAGAAACAAGCTATCTATTCCTCCATAGGCAACTTACAATGGTGGGTAAGCCTAGCATAACCACAGTAGATAAACTTCTTTAAAAAGGATTTTAAGGTGGGGTGCTGTGGCTCATGTCTGTAATCCCAGCACTCTGGGAGGCCGAAGTGGTGGATCACTAGCAGGAGTTTGAGACCAGACTGATAAGCATGGTGAAACCCCGTCTCTACTAAAAATACAAAAATTAGCTGGGGTTGGTGGTGTACGGTTGTAATCCCAGCTGCTCAGAAGGCTGAGGCAGGAGAATCCCTTGAACCCAGGAAGTGGAGGTTGCAGTGAGCCGAGATGTACCACTGCACTCCAGCCTGGGCGACAGAGCGAAACTCCAAAAGATTTTAAAAGGAAAAATGTAAGATAGAAGTAATCAGTTCATAGTAATACGTTTCTTATTTTTATTTAACTAGCTTTAGTGGTACAATTGATTTTTGGTTACATGGATAAATGTATAATAGTAAAGTCTAGGATTTTAGTGCATCCATCATTTGGGTAGAATACATTGTACCCAACAGGTAGGTGTTTCATCCTGCATCCCCCTCCCATCGTCCCCCTTTCTGAGTATCCAATGTTCATCATACCACCCTTCATGCCTTTGTGTACCCATCCCTTAGTTCCTACTTATAAGTGAGAACATGCAGTATTTGGTTTTCGATTCTTGAGTTAATTTGCTTACAATAATGACCTCCAGTTCCACCCAAGTTGCTGCAAAACATTATTTGTTATTATGTCTGAGTAGTATTCCATGACATATCTATACCACATTTTCTTTATCCACTCATCAGTTGATGGGCACTTAGTTTGTTTCCATATCTTTGCTGTATGAATTGTGCTGCAATAAACATCCACATATAGGTGCCTTTTTGATACAGTGACTTCTTTTCTCTTGAGTAGATATCCAGTTGTGGGATTGCTGGATTGAATGGAAGACCTATTTTTAGTTCGTTGAGAAATCTCCATATTGCTTTCCATAGAGATTGTATTAATTTAAATTCTCAGGAGCAGACTGTAGCACTATTTTTTTTTCTACCACATTTGTACCAACATCTATTATTTTTTGACTTTTTAATAATTGCCATTCTGGCAGGGTAAGATGTTATCATATTGTGGTTTTAATTTGCATTTCCTTGATGATTTGTGATGTTGAGCATTTTCCTGTATGTTTGTTGGCCATTTCTGTATCTTTAGAGATAACACCTTTTAAGAAATTACTATTCATATCCTTTGTTCACTTTTTAATGAGATTTTTTTTCTTGGGGATTTGTTTGAGTTCCTTATAGATTCTGGATATTAATCCTTTGTCAGATGCACAATTTGCAAATATTTTCTCCCATTCTGTAGGTTGTCCATTTACTCTGCAGGTGATTTCTTTTGCTATGCAGAAACTTTTTCATTTAATTAGGTCTCAGTATTTATTTTTGTTTTTGTTGCATTTGCTTTTGAGATCTTAGTTATAAATTCTTTGGCTAGGCCAGTGTCCAGCAGAGTGTTTCCTAGGTTTTCCTCTAGAATTTTTGGCTTCAGGTCTTAGATTTAAGTCTTTAATACATGTTGAATTAATTTTCATATGTGATGATATATAGATATCCAGTTTCATTCTTCTACATGTGGCTTGCCAATTTGCCCAGCACCATGTATTGAATAGGGTGTTCTTTCCTCCATTTCAGTTTCTGTACGCTTTGTCAAAAATCAGTTACTTATAAATATTTGGCTTTATTTCTGGGTTCTCTATTATGTTCCATTGGTCTATGTGCTTACTTTTATACTAGTACCATGCTATTTTTGTTACTATGTTCTTGCAGTGTAATTTGAAGTCAGATAATGTGATGTCTCCAGATTTGTTCATTTTGGTTAGTGTTGCTTTAGCTATGCGGGCTGTTTTTTGGTTCCATATAAATTTTAGGATTGTTCTTTCTAGTTCTGTGAAAAATGATGATGGTATTTTGATGGGAATTACATTTAATCTCTAGATTGTTTTGGGCAGTATGGTCATTTTCACGATATTGATTTTTCCAATCCATGAACATGGGATGTATTTCCATTTGTTTTAACAGTTACGATTTCTTTCAGCACTGTTTTGTAGTTCTCCTTGTAGATCTCTTTCACCTCTTTGGTTAAGTATATTCCTAGCTACTGTATTTACTTATTTATTAATTCATTTATTTATTAGCCCTGGTAAAATTAATTGAATTCTTGATTTTATTCTCAGCTTGGTCATTTTTGTTGTATTATAGCAGTGCTGCTGATTTGTGTACATTGATTTTGTAAACTGAGACTTTAATGAATTAATTAATCAGATCTAGGAGTCTTTTGAAGCAGTCTTTAGGGTTTTCTAGGTATAAGATCATAAGATCATATCATCAACAAACAGTGATAGTTTGACTTCCTCTTTTCCAATTTGATTGCCCTTTCTTTCTTTTGTCTGATTCCTTTGGCTAAGACTTACAGTACTACATTGAATGGGCATACTTGTCTTGTTCCAGTTCTTAAGGGGAATCCTTTCAACTTTATCTCATTCAGTATGATGTTGGCTGTGGAGCTGTCCTATATAGCTTTTTTTTTTTTTTTTTTTTTTTTTGTGATATGTCCTTCTATGCTTAGCTTGTTGAGGGTTTTTATCATAAAGGGATGCTGGATTTTTTAAAAGTTTCTTCCTTTCAACATGTATGAAACCAAGCATCCCTGGCTGCTGCAGGAGACAACAGAGAGGTATAGTTAAGAAAAAACTTTATTTTAAGCAGGGAGAATGACAACATAGCACTTAACAGCTATATTGTGGTCTGAATTCTGCTTGAGTTGCTGGATTTTATCAGATATGTTTTCTGTGTCTATTGAGATGATCATATGATTTGTATTTTAATTCTCTTGATGTGATGAATTACATTTATTGACTTGCATACGTTGAAAGATCCCTGCATCCCTGGGATGAAGCACACTTGAGCACGGTGAATTTTTTTTTTTTTTTTGATGTGCTGTTAGATTTGGTTTGCTAGTATTTTGTTGAGAATTTTTGCATTTGTATTTATTATGGATATTGGCCAGCAGTTTTCTTTTTTTATGTACTTTTCTGGCTCTGGTATCAGGGTGACAGTGACTTCATAGAATGAGTTAGGGAGGATTCCCTCCTTCCCAATCTTTTGGAATCGTGTCAGTAGAACTGGTACCAATTCTTCTTTGAATGTTTGGTAGAATTTTATTGTGAATCCATCTGGCCCTGGATTTTTCTTTGTTGGCAGCTTGAAAAATTACTCATTCAGTTTCACTGCTTGTCATTGCTCTGTTCAGGATTTATGTTTCTTTCTGATTCAAGCTAGGGGAGTTGTATATTTTCAGGAGTTTATCCATTTCCTTTAGATTTTCTAGTTTGTGTTCATGGAGGTGTTCATACTAGTCTCTAATGATCTTTTGTTTTTCTGTAGAGTCAGTTGTATTGTTTCCATTTTCATTTCTAATTGAGATTATTTGTATCTTCTCTCTTTTCTTGGTGAATCTAGCAGTGGTCTATCAATTTTGTTTATCTTTTCAAACAACCAGCCTTTTGTTTCATTAATGTTTTGCGTTTTTTTTTTGTTTGTTTGTTTCAATTTCATTTAGTTCTTCTCTGATCTTTGTTATTTCTTTTCGTCTGCTTAACTTTCCTCTAGAGAGTTAATGTGATCTTTTAGGGGTGCCATAGAACCCTGTTTTTTCATATCGCCAGGATTGTTTTTCTAGTTCTTTTTCATTTGGGTAGACTATTACTTCTAATTATTTTGTATTTATTTTGTATTTGACAAGTTTATTAAAATATTTTTTTCCCTTGAGGATGTGACTTTAATGTTTATAGTTTATTGTCACCTAGCTTCAGCTCTGGGTGCATTCAATGGTGAAGGGAGTATAAATTCCTTGGTTACAGAGAATCTTTTTGCAACAGGTTTCCCAGATGTTGGTTGTAGCAGCAATGTGCTGGGTATGTGAGCAGGTTCACTGTTTCCTGTGGGGCTGGAATGGCAGCGGTCTCATGAAGCTTATCTTGTTCCCCAGAGGTGTCCACTATTTTGTGTGTGTATGTGAGACAGGGTCTTGCTGTTACCTAGGCAGTGCAGTGACATGATCATAGCTCATTGCAGCCTTGAGTTCCCAGGATCAAGTGACCCTTTCACCTTAGTCTTTTGAGTAGCTACGACAAGCATGCACTGCCATGCCTGGCTAATTTTGATATTTTTTGTAGAGATGGGGTTTCACCATGTTTCCCAGGCTGGTTTCTTTTGTCTCATGGGCTGCTCTCAATGTGGTGCACTCTGTCTAGGAGTAGCAGCCACTGAGGGCCAGACTACTGTGAATCCTGCTGCTCCTCTGTGTCTAGCCACCTTCTAGGGCTGCCACACTCCAGGTGCTGAGGAATGTGCTATGACCTGTCCCCAATTCCCAGTAGCAGGTACCAGTACCAGCTCTGATGAGAGTGGGGGGAGAGTGACAAAGACTCTGAAGTTTCCTTGGTTATAAAACTAGCCTTAGTGTGTTAGCTTTCTCAAATGTCAGCTGGAGTAGTGATGTACTTAGGCACATGGACAGACTCAAGAGTTCCTGGTTAGCCAAGGTGATGTAGGTAATGATGATAGCTGAGGTTGTGCAAAAGGTTTCTCTTTCCTTGAGTTATGATGTGGTTCCTGCAGATGTTGAAATGTCTGTGCTGGTTGGCCCTCAGCTAGGAGGTGGCGCTTGCAAAAGCGACAGCTGCGGTGGTAGTGGTGGAATTTGTGTTTGCCTTATGTTACTCGGGAGATACTCTAATTCCTCAAGTGCCTCTGGTGCCTTTGGGGCCATGGACCTCCAAAAACTTTCTGTCCTTTGTGTTAAGCTACCACAGTGGGTAGAGGTGCAAAGCTGGGTGTGGGCTGGGTTGGGCAAGTTTGAGGTCTGGCTTTCCAAGTGAAGGCACACACATCAGCACAGTGGGGACTTGAGGGCAGTCTGGCTGCTGGGGTAATGTTCCAGGGAGGAGTGCAGCTGCCTTTTCTGTACAGCAGAGTCTGTGTGGGGAGTAAGAAGTAGCACTAAGCAGTAAACAGTAAGCCCCACCCAACTAATTGGCAAGGTGACTCTCATACCTGCAGTGTTCCAGTAGTAGCAGCTAGCTCAGCTTCAGGCAGTCTGTGCTCAGAACTCAAAACTGCCACAGAGACCTCAGCTTTCAGGCCATGTCCTTCCTTTCTACCCATGAAGTAGGGGCATCCAACTCTGGCACCTATGGTTATAGTGCACTTCCCGCTCACCCCTTAGTTCTGGCCAGTGGGGTTTGTCTTCACTCAAGATTGTATCACACATTTCAGTTGGGAACTTCTTTCAACCTGCAACTGCAGCCTGAGTTAGATGGCAGGCTTCTGTGAGGTCCCTGTTAGGTAGGATTAGGAATTGGTCTGTAGCAATAGTGAAATCAAAGTGGGTACAAGTTGGCAGATTTCTTTCTTTCTTTTTCTTTTTTCTTTCTTTCTTGCTTTTTTTTTTCTTTAACATTTACTGGTTTATTTAAAGGATGTTACAAAGGATACAGATGAAAAGATGTGTAGGTCAAGTTATGGGGGAAGGTGTGTGAAGCTTCCATGCTGTGATGGTTAATACCGAGTGTCAACTTGATTGAATTGAAGGATGCAAAGTATTATTCCTGGGTGGGACTGTGAGAGTGTGGCCAAAGGAGATTAACAGTTGAGTCAATGGGCTCGGGAAGGCAGACCCACCCTCAATCTGGTGGGCACAATCTAATCAGCTGCCAGTAAATATAAAGCAGACAGAAAAATGTGAAAAGGAGAGACTAGTCTAGCCTCCCAGCCTATGTCTTTCTCCCGTGCTGGATGCTTCCTGCTCTAGAATGTCAGACTCCAAGTTCTTTAGTTTTGAGACTTGAACTGGCTCTCCTTGCTCCTCAAGCATGCAGACAGCCTATTGTGGAGCTTTGTGATCGTGTAAGTTAATACTTAATAAACTCTCATATATATAGGGAGTTTTATATAGACAAAATTGATAGGATATATATACATGCATATATATATATATATATATACACACATATATACATACATATATATATACATATATATATATATATGGGAGTTTATTAAGTATTAACTTATATATATATCTCCTATTAGTTTATATATCTCTCTGTCTTATTAGTTCTGTCCCTTTAGAGACCCCTGACTAATACGCATGTCTTCCTTGGGCATGTCACCCTCTAGGAATCTCATGTGTTCAGCTACCTGGACGCTCCCTGACCCCAGTCCTCTTGGGTTTTTAGGAATTTTCATGACCTCAGCTTGTTCCTTCATGTGGGATATAGAGCAGGGCCCTCTCTGGAGAGTGTCTTAAGATCCACAGTGAGAAAGGGGAGGGTGTGAAAGGTTAGCGTCCTGCCTTGGGTCAGGTGAAAGGAAGGCAAGAGTGGGTCAGAGATTCTCTTTCATGAAGGCTGCCTCTGAGGCCTAACACTCCCAACATTATAACAAAAGACAGTAACAAGGGCTGTAAGAGTTATTAGCCAGGAGCCATGGATGAAAACATATATAGATATAAAACATGTATACATATATACATAGGAAAACATACATACACATATGTATATGTGTATGTTTTCCTCCATAAATGTTTGTTTGTGTGTGTGTATAAAATAACATCACAGGCCACCCCCTGGTTTTTGACCATAGATTCTTTATATCAAAAAAATACACACAGTCATTAGTAACTAGTCCATCTCGTCATATTGTCTCCCAGTATGAGGCCATTCAGGTTTGTAGGCTTCCTTTCAATCTTGTCAGGTTCTAAAAGCAAGAGGGATCCTTGCAAACATGTAGCTTTGCCCTTTCAGGCATGAGGAATAATTGAGCTAGGAGACAATGTTATCTGTTGTTCTGGGACTCTTTAGAGTTATTAATGTAATATTGGATTTTCCTCAATTTATAACCTATTCATTTCTTTACCCTTAAATATGATTCCTCCTTTTCTCCATTTGTCATTTATTTTTGTCCAAACCTTTTCACCTTTGGAAGGGATATTAGGTTCAGCCACCATAGTATCCAGGTTGCTGGTAGCAATACTAATCTAGCAAGTGCCTCCCCCCGAGTCCATTCCATTCACACAGAATAGTGTTACATAGCTTTCAAACTACTGAGCCATTTTTACCACCAAACAGTAGAGCTGTATTTATTCTTAACACCAGTTTTGCTAGATGAGGTGAAGGTGCAATCTGCTTTCATCAGACCTTTAGGAATTCTAAGTTTAGAAACACAGGGACAGTTTCTTTCTTAGAAATCTCCTCTGCTTCCAGTACTTACAGTTGTAGCCTTGGTGCTGAGACCACTTTATCAAATAAAGGAGAAAAAAAATTTTGAGGTAAGTTGGGGAAGAAAGAAAAAATCATAGTTATTATACTAGTTTACTCTGCCCTTGGCAAGAATTGCACAGCCATACCAACATTTTTCCTACCCCCCTTCCCCAGATCAAGCAGAAAAACAGAGAAAGGTCTAGTAGGGAAACTTCTTTAGTCCCACTCACGTTGAGTGTGAGCACACACTTGTGAAGGTGTGCAAACCAGCCCTTTATGCTTTCATCTCCCAGTTTTAGACAATCAATGTTTCAGTGGCCTGTTCTATTTCCCTGTCAAACTATTACCCTAAGGAGGATTCTCTCTGCTTTTTGTTGGACATTATGGGTGGCACAGTGTGTTCCCTGGCCTGGAGAAAGGAAATGGCCATCCAAATCTATGCAATATCTTCTGTTCTGTGTGTGTGTGGCTTTTTTAATGGCACAGTGAGCATTTC